GGCACAGACACTGGCCCCAGCACTGCCCAGCTCCTGCCTGCTCAAGTGTGTCAATCCCGTGCTGCCCACAGCCACTCCCACTCACACACTGCCCTGGTGCTGCCCACAGCTCGTATCCATCAACAGGTAGGCTGGAGTGAACCTGACAAGAGTGGCCTTGCTCTGCACATGCTACATCTCCTGGACAGATGGACCCTACCCAATAGCCATCCCCAGTGGTCCCTCCTCCTCTTCCCCTCCTTGAGCTGCAATTACAGCATCCCATGTGCTCTAGGACAGGCGCTGACTAGCCTAGCTGGTGAACACAGAGCAAAAACCATCACCAAATAAGCTGTGCTGCCCCAGGATGGCAGGTTTGCAGGTGGCTTGGAACACTTCAGGAGTCCCCAGACAGACTCTACCTCTTTGACAGCCCCAAGCCTGTGCAGAACAGAAATGGCTTTGAGACAAAGGGAATGGTGTGGCATATTCAAGAGACCCTCCCATGTGAGGAAAGAGGAACATGCAGGGGTTGGAATGCCTTTAATCCTCATGCACAGGCTCCAGGCACAGTTGCCTCAAGCAATAACAGCCCTTTGACTGTGCTGGCTGAGTCACTTCAGCTTCCCCAGATGGGGACATTTTATCATGCACAGACCTGCATCTCTGAGGGCTATAATTCTGCTCAGATTGTCTTGTGCAAAGATCCCGGTGTGGTGGGACCTGATCACAGCACTTTTCCAGTCACTCAGACATGGTCTCTGCCAACAAACAATCCTCCTACTTCTGAAAGTAAAACACGACCTCCGAAGAGTTATGATTTATGCTGATTCCAGCCAGACTGCTGTGGACAGCAGGTCGTGTGTGTCCATGACTGCCAGCGTCTGCTCCAGTATGGTCACCTGAACAGTGCCAGCCCAAGGTGGCTGTGCACTATCCAGATTTGAGTTTGAGCACTTGTTTGCCTGAATGGTCTTTGCTTGTCACATTCATCAACATCCTCAGCTTGTCCAGAAGGCCTGGTGCTGCATTTGCTAGTGGTTCATCAACCAGCACAGCTCTGTAGGATTTTACTCTTTGATAGAGCTGCTTGAAGACAGAAAACTGCACTCAGCAATAGAGAAATTGCACCAGTGAGAGTGGGCATAGGGCTAGGTAGGTGGTGAGATTGCTTCATGGGTGCAAGAAGTCAAGCTATGACTAAGGTTGTCTCCAGGCTGCTGTGAAGCAGAGGGTTGCAGTAGGGAAGCTAATGAAGTCCAGGAATTCTGTTTGAATTGGAGCCAGGAGCCAACAGAGAGGCAGCAGCGAAGACAGATGCTGATGGAAAAGGTTGAAACCAGTGAGATCTGGGATCTCAGGGTTGCTGTGGTCTTGTGGACTGAGGTCCACGTTCACAGACCGTGTCTGCGCCTCAGTCATTCACCCTGCAGCGTACCTGGGATCCATGCACACACCCTGGAATGTGGCTTCCTTTCCTGGGGGAGCGTGAGGGCAGGGAGGGGACAGGCATGCCTGAGGCTTTCAGGGACACAAAGTGGGGAAACAACTGGTTTGCAGACATGTTCCCTTTTCACAATGATGTTCATATCACTCGTGCAGTGGCCCCTTAAAGCAGAACGTATCAGCCATTCTTGGAGGTGACTTGGAGCCCAGGGCTCCTGATGCAGGTGCTCTGCCCAGCAAGCTACAGCATTATCCTCCTTCATCTTATACAAAACCAGCACTCCAAACGGAAAATACCACAACTTTGAGTGACCCTGTCCCAGGTCTCCAGGTGGCCTTCTGCCCTCTGAACCATTTTCTCATCCTCCTTCTGCAGTGGTGCCTGTACACTACAGAGCAGCACCTGGAACAAGATGCCACAGAGAGAAGATGTGCTCTTGCCAGTGTTTAGGGACCTCCTTGACATCATCTCCCAGGTTTTGGTACAATTATTTGAGCTTTTGCCAAAATCATGATATTATTAAATTATTTATTATTAAATTATTATTAAATCATGTTATTATTGAAAGGGCCTTTTATGAAAAGAAAAAGTATGCAAAAATGGTTTAACATGATGCGTAAGGATTGAGTGCAATGACCAGGGGCCTGACAGGGATTGTCCCTAATACCAGACTGTAAGAAGGGCCATCCTGATAGATAGGTAGGAAATGCCTAGGTAGACCATCCAGTGGTGGATACATCATGTGTTTTTCTGCTCAAATCTGAAGCTCCTAGTGAGCAGAGCTGGGGCTTTCCTAAGCTGAAGGCTGAATGAAGAACTTCTTGTTTAATACCAGGGTGGTCCTGTTCCTAGAAAATTATCTAACCCTGTTTGGAAGTATTTTTTGGCCTCTCTGTATCATGCTCTGATGACGAGTTATTGGAGTAATTATGTGCCATGTGAAGAAGCATTGCTTCTTGTCCCAGTCCCAGCATCCCATCTCTAGCTGCCCTGTTGTAAAAAACAGCACCGTCCAGCACTCTGGCGGTTTCAGAGGTCTCTGAAGCATCTTCCTTAAGTATTGTTTGTCTGTGCCAAAATGGTTTTATGTTGAAACCAGTCCCCGCTGATGGTGGTCTGGAAAGTCTTTCAGTCTGTATTACTGGTTGGAGGAGGGACTTAGCTGGGAGGCAGCAGGATCCAGCAGTATTACGACAATGGGTTTTGCTTCAATATTGGCTCCAGATACTTTCACTGATCAATTCTGAACTCTGAGCTCCGATTTCATGGAGCCACTTAGACCCAGTGACTGTCCCACCAAAACCCCACCAGCGCTTCCTAAAGCCTCAGTCTGTATCACTCTGTATTCAGTTGTGCCTCTTCTTGGTTTTTAACAGATGTGAATTGTTGTACTTCCTCACTGAGCTTCAGGACCTAGTGTCTTATCTCTCCAGCACACCTTGGCTGCAGAAACAAACCCATATGCAGGACAAGGAGCCCCAGAACTTGTGTTGGTCCTTGCGTGATGGTTGTCCCTGTGGATGAGCTTCTCCATCCCCGTGGGATGCAGGGAGTTCCCATGGGATTGGTGACTGGAGCTTACATTCCACTTTCACAAGCGTGGAAGGAGAAGCAGAGCTGACGATTACGGACTTGCCAGGGCACAGCTCACACAGACACACCACCTTCCATAGGTGATGGTTTTTTCAGAGAGGTGACACCAGCCTTGCAGCATGCACCCTGTGGTGGGGAATGGGCTCTGGGTGCATCAGTGAGGAAGCTTGTGGTGCTCTGTGCTCCATGCACTTGGCCAGCGGTGAGAAGATCATCCAGGAAGGTGAAGAGGATGGCAAGATGGTGGGGGTGGGGTACAACAGAGTGATTAGAGGAAAATTAGGAGTTGATGGAGCAGGGATCTGAGACTGCCGGAGTGCCTAAGGCTTGGATTGTCCCTTGTATGCACCAGGGACACTTGTGCTGCCCATGGAGCAGCTTTGTGCAGGAGATGCAGGAGGAGGGCATGGGCACAGGGAGCCTCTTCAAACACGCCCAGCCCTGCCCTGCCCCACTGGGGAGGAGAGGTGTGTGAGCACCCTGCACATCTCTGTGTCTGACATTCCTCCTGAGGCTTTTCTCTTCCAGCCCGAATGATCCCAATTCCATCCCTCTAGTACCTCTGCAACTTCTATTCTAGTTTCCCCACAGGTGAGGATGTGGCACTTTCTCATCCTTCTGCCCATTGTGCTCTGGCTGCTCGCCTGCTGCCCCATGTCCTGCATGAAGACTTATGGGGCCTATAGTTTTCATAGAAAATCTTTCTAAAAAAGAAAAAAAAATCTTTCTGAAAGCTTGGCTGTACAATTATCTTTTTCCAAATTTCCTCCCATGTCAGACTTCTGAATCCTCTGCAGTAAAGCTGACAGTTATAGCAACAGCCAAGTTTCTTGCCTGCATCAGTACTCTTTGGGCTGCCCCTCAATGGTAAGGTCTTTCTGTCCCTTTGACACTGGTAGTAATTCCAACAGCCCCCTAAGCACCTTTTCCCTTTTCATTTAACCTCCAACCACTCCTTGAAGGTTTTGGAAATAGAAACCTAAGATATGTAAAACGTTCCTTTATTTAGACACTTTCCCCAGCCCAGATACCACGCTAGGATGTCTTTCTTATCCAGTTGAGCACATGGCTACAATGTCCTAATTCTAGAAGGACCAAGTAGGTTCAGGACAGAGGCTGGTCCAGAGTCAAAAACGTGGCCTTTCCAGAGATGCAGAGATGATAAAACCAGTAAATTCACTGGTGTGGTTTTCCAGAAGATCAGTGAAAGGATATAGTGGCTGGGCAGGTCAGAAATATCCTGAGGGTCCATTTCTGAACCTGCCTGAATCACCAAAACCAGTCAGACACCTGCTCTTGGGGCAGGAGCACTGCTACTCACTGTGTCCTCCTCCCCAATCACTTCTGTAGCTACCTCAGTGTCCATGGCACTTCTCCACATCCTACACTCACGTCCATTTCTGAGAAGTCCTCCAGGGTCCTGCCTGTTCAGCCCCAACAGCTTCAGTCACCGAAGCCCCTGGGCTGGTTTGGGTTTTTTCCTCAACAGCTCCAGTTACTGCTGCCAAGTTGTGCCAACACTGTGAAGCCCCTTAGCAAACAGTGACGGACCTGCTATTCAGCCGTTGTGTTTGCAACCCTCCCACAAGAAACCTGCCCACAGGCCAGTTTCCACGGACCCTGCGGAGGCAACTGCCACCAACACACACTGGGAGAAGAATGTCTTGCACAAGCATAAATATGAGACAACTCAGCTGAAAGCACTGCTATTACTCTGGACTAACAGATGCACGGGTGCAGCCGAGAGGCCCCTTTAATGGTCCCGTAGCCCTAGTGGATCCACCAAGCTCACCCCAGGGACCCTCTTCTGCAGGACCCTGGGCCAGCCTGCAAGCCTGCTTAAGAGTCCTGGGAGACCAACATGGTTTTTTTCCAGCAATAGTCCAGGATAGCTTCAGAAACAAGCAGAGACTTCATCCATTTTGTGTCAGGGTTTTTTGTTTGCTTTTTTTAACAAAGTTTTCTTTTTTTCTAATTGTAGGATGCTGCAGAACAATCAGCTGAGTCGCATCCCTGCAGAGGCACTGAGAGATCTTCCAAACCTCCAATCTCTGTAAGTCATTAAAAATCAATGCTGCGAGCTGCACAGTCCCTTGGGGGCCCCCAGGCTTCCCGGCGTTTGAGTCATTAGTTCCTTTGTCAAGGATGTTCTGTCCCTTCTTCCTTTTCTTTCCCAATTAAAGCAAAGATCACTGTCACTTAACGTGGAAGGGAGGGGAGGGCAGTTTTCAAGGAAGGAACACTGTCTTGGTAAAGGATGTTGAAATCACATCTCCCCATGTGTGCATCGTGATGAAAAGGCCACCAGCACCAACGCATATTTCAAGGAACGCTGGAAAATATCCACCCAGGAGGGACCACAGTGGGGGAGGGACCTGCCAGGGAGCACAGAGGACACTCTGGTCTGTCAATGTGTGAGTTGGGCTGGTTTACCCAGATGAAGTGTAGTTATGTCAGGGCAGAAATGTTTTAAATGACTTTTTAGAGATTCAGCCATGGGAAGAGGCAGAGGCTGCAGTTGTGCTTCTCCTACACATCCTCAGCAGGTTTATGCTGCTGTGTTCACTAAAAATCACACATCACTGAAATATTTGCAGTTTTCCAGAGCATGGGCACACTTGCAGTCAGGTACTGGTAGTGCCACTGAATTTAGGGAATCATCCAGCTGGTGTAAGCAGCACTGCTGAGGTTTGTAAGAGCATTCTGAATTGGGCTGAACCACTGAAAAACTAACCTTAACCCTAATCCTGAACTTCAGTCCTCATCTTACTGTGTCATAGGGATACTCGACATACTGTGTCATACTGTCATCATAGAAATGCTGGTTGGGAATGGTTTCTGGGAGTCTCCAGATGAGCCTCCTGCTTCGAGCAGGACTATCAGTAGCAGGTGGTGCAGCTTTGTCTATCCAAGCCTTAAAATTCTCCAAACACGAAGGTTCCCCTCTTGCTGGTGACCTGGCCTGAAACTTTTCTTCCTGGATAAGATGTTTTACCTCAAGTCCAACCTAAACCTCCCGGCATGCAATTTGTGGTCATTACTCTTTGTTTGATCACTTAGAACCACCCATAAAAGCTTAGCTCCTTCATCTTTAGTTGTGGATCACTAGCAGACCTTCTCTTAGCCTCTTCTCTGCCAGGTGGAACCAATTCAGCTCCTTCCACATCCACTTGTGGGACCTTGACTCAGTTGCCAGCCCTCAACTAGATCTGCCTGGCTCCTCTTCATCCTTACACTGGGCAGCCCAAAACTGGGCACAGTTCTCCATGTGTGGCCCTTCCAGCACCAAGTAGGAGTTTCTGTAAATATTAATTTAAATATTAATTTGCAGTGGGGGTGGTGGCTGAGCAGGATATGAATGTTCTTTCTGCCAGGAGAGATTTGAAACATTTGTTGCTGAAACATCATCAACGCATGGTTGTGGTTGTTATTAAAATGTGTTGACATCACCACCAGTGCCAGAGTCGACCCCCCACTCTGGGTATTTGGAGATTAGATTGTTTTCCAAGTGGCTTCCCTTTCAAGAGGAATGTGACACAGAAGGTCACCGCAACGGGCTGCCTCAGGAACATCCCTTTGTGTCCTCAGTCTGTCTCCCCTATGTCCATGAAAGTGTGTGACAACCAGTGCCACCAGAGCCCATAGCTGGATAGACACCCAGCCCTTGCTTCGGAAGGTTCAGCTGCCTGTGGGCACCACTGCTGCTTGGCCCACCTGGCCTTGGGCACACACCACTGATGGATGGCACCTCAGCTAGTGCTGAGAGGTCCACACGCACCATTCCCACAGTGAACAGCATCCACCGAAATACCGCAGGGTACACAACAAGTGCAAAGCATTCTAAGGAGCTGCTCACAGCACTTTGAGCTTCATTTAAGGGTCAGTGCCACTCTTGAATGGCTTATCTTGATGGCTTAAGCTTGATGGCTTATCTTGAATCAACATAGAGGTACCTGCTCTTAGAATCACAGAATCATAAAATCATTAAGGTTGGAAAAGAACTCTAAGATCATCTAGTCCAACCATCTACCCAAGACTACCGTGATTAGTGTACTTTCAGGCCACCTCATTCAGCGTGGACACCCCAAGTCTCTCCAAAGTGGATGAGGAGGGAGAGCTCAGGCCAGCTGGGATCTCGTGTTCTTCCTGCAGAAACTGCATGGTAGGAGCAAATTTTAGGAAGAAATAGGCTGCTTCAGACAACCTGAGGGAGACTGGGTTTGGAATAAAACCGGACAGCCAAGTATCCAGGCACGTCTGCTAAGGACATGCCTAGTGCCTGTCTTAATAGGACTGGTTTGAAGAGCCACAGCAGCAGTGGCAAGAGGTTGCTTTCTCTAGCTGTGTCCTGCCCAGAATTTCCCATCCCAGCTGGCAGGCTCCCATCCAGGGTCCAAGGTGACTGAGCAGGGACCTCCTGCCTTTCCCCAGCAGCCTTAGCCCTTTGCACCAACCTCTCAGGGCTCCCCTCAGCCCCTTACCCCTGGTAGCTGATCCAGGTCTTTCTTCACAGCAGTGCACAAGCACCCAAGCCCAGTCCCTCTGGGCTCCTTCACTCCTCTCCTCACCATATGTTTTTAGGATGCCTGTCACCCTAAACCAGGGCTACCTCTTCTGAGCCTTTCCCAGCTCCACGTCTGAAGCTCAAGTTCTCTTCTCAGCCTCTCATTTGACCCAAATTCCCATCTCAGGCACAAACTGTGCTCAAGAGGGACTGAGACAGTGGCCTCCCACTCCTGTCCTTTTTTTTAAAAAAAAAAAACCTCTTAGACCTGAGAAGACCTGGGCCCATGACGGGAAAGGAGGCAACAACTTCTCACCTGCAGGACTGCTTCATGCAATGCTCTTGACTACACCAGCCAGACCCACAGCTTATCTGCCAGCCACCAGACACAGTGAGAGTAAATAGATTCAAAGGAAGGCTCTTGCTGGAAAGATAAACAATTCGTGGAATGGAGCTTAAAGTGCCTCTCCAGCCAAAGGAGAGTGGATACACGTTCTCCTGGTCATAGACTGCCCAGGGCTTCTGGGCCGTGTTTATACAGATGATTATTTAATTAAGCACCCTTCTGGGGAGACTCAGCTTTGAGAACTGGCAGAAAGCATCAGAAAATGAGATGTGCATTGTTAGAACAGCACAATCCCTTGTGGCAGATCCGCTGCTGGCAACACCTCCTTGCCAGCTCAGGAAAGTGGGACCCGCTGCGGTTTGGCTGGATGTTCTTCATCACACCTTACATGAGCAGAGAAACTGGAAAGGGATGAGCTAAGCCATGGGCAGCAAATCAGTGTGAACTTGTAGGCTCAGCAAATAGTGAGGTGAGATGATCTGGATCTTTCCCCGTTCGGACAATAACACCTGCGCATGGTCATCTCTAGCTGCACACTCAGAAGTGATTTCCAGCCTTCACTCATTCTCAGCGCTTGCACTGGCGAGAGCAGCACAAGTACAGGAAGGCAAAGTGATCTTCCCGTGGGCAGCAGCAGAGGCAGGATCAGGACCTCGGTGTCCTGGCTCTGCTTGCCACAGAGGGTGTGTATCACCACCAGTCACCGGGAGAGGACGTGTCTGGGGCAGACTGTGTGAGAGATTAAAAGCTCCAGGAGACAGGCTTCTGTAACAAAACCCAACCTGGTTAAGAGATAGGCAGAAAAGAGAAAGATGACCAACAGATCACCAACAGCCTGCAGTAAAACCTGTCCTCAGCACAGAGAGAACAGGAGGCAGTTGCCCTCTGACGCAGCTGTTCTCCACAGATAGTCCTTCTCCGAGAGGACATGCACAAGCCAGTTCTGCCTCACGCTAACATTGCTCCTGTGCCTGTCTGTGTCTCTAGCTTGGCCATTTGAAAGTGTGGAGGCATCATGCAGAAAAAGATGACAATTTGCACATTCTCTTTTTTATACAGATACTGTACAACAGAGAACCCTTGGGCACAGTGAAGGCCCAAGGACCGTGTCTGGTAACTAAGTCTCCACAGCCCTGCTCTGGGTGGGTAGGCTCATTCGGAAGGCACACAGGGTGTGTCATGAGGTTGCACCGCTGCTTTGTCTCACACTGGTGAAAGTAAGACGTGCTTTCACCCTGGGTCCCCATCCTGTGCTGCTCCCCCAAGGGAGTGCTAGCCAGTGCAAGCCAGTGCTTGTGGCATCCGGCAATTTTCATTCTAGCTTTTGTTTAGAGGTGTTCTTCTGTAGCCACATTTTCCCTCTCTCCATTCAAACATGGAAATGCTCCATAAAAATAAATGAGACCTGATCTGAAGAACAGGAGCGGCACAGTGCGGACAGTCACTATTCTTAAGGTAGATACAGAGCTAAGATGCTCTGCTTGGTTTCCAATGGTGCCTCCATGGCTTCTCCAAATGTAGTTATTAACCTCAACCCAAGAGCCGCTAGTACAGGTCTGCATTACAGAGATATTTTTTCATCTCTTTTTCAAATATCTGAGTCATTTTCCACAAGTTTATGAGACTCCTGTGTATTAATTGCCAAAAATTTAGCCAGCCTGGAACACCCATATGTCACCCACACCATGGTCTCCAAGCATTAATGGTCGTGCTGTCTGAGACCCACTATACTGCTGTTGCCCAGAGGCTATTTTTTCCATTCAGAAGGGGAAGTGGCTTTATGGCACATCATGACAGTTCGTCAGTTACCAGACTTGTATGGCACTTTGTGGGATATTAACTATCTGCTTTGCAAGCTGGCAACACACGTTAAGTGGGCAAGACAGCTGAAAATGGGAGCCAACAGGAGTGGGATGGAACAGACAGAAAGGGATTTTGTGCTGGTTATTTTCTTGCTCTTTCAGATATTTGCATTTGATGTCCACATTTGTCATTCTGGGATTCTGGCCAGGTTTGAAGGGAAAGTATGTATCCCTTATGGACAGGCTGACACAGGAGAGAAAAAATAGACTTCTCTGTACACAAGCCTTTTCTCAGGTTTACAACAGAAGTGGCCAAACTAAGTAGAAGCTGAGAACAATTGTTTTGAATGTAGCTCCACCAGTAGTACTTACCAGACAATTCAAGGGATGAGGTGGCAAAA